GCAAGGAGCTGTTGGGAAAGGAGCTAGGGACAAACCAGAAACTATGATTTTCGCGTGAAGGGCTTGCATTTGAATACTAAGCACATTTTCAGTTCTTCTCATTCAAAAAGGGTAATAGAGCTTGAAAAGTGCATGGAAGAATAAAATAGATTAACAGAAGTAATGATTTCTAGACCAAGAGAGCTGAGGCAGGCTAGGAGTGGTGATAACTGAGGCAGAATTTCTGGTGGTAAAACTCTGTAGAATTGAGTGAAAGATAATGTGCTGATGTCCAAGCACAAAACCCAGGTGACAGTGGACGGTCAGGCAGCAGATTTAAAGCTAACAAAAACAAATCCTCAAAACCCGTTCTGTTCTAACTGGTATGCGGGAATCCTTGCGCTGAGATAGCGAAAGCATTGCTGGCCTTACAGAAAGGAAAGGTGAATTCATGGTAAACAGCTCCAGTACTGGCCATTAAGCATGCAACATCCCGTTCACGATGTGTCTGTCCCTAGTGCGTTGGGAACCAGGTGAGTAATACCAAGGGGAAAATCCTCTGCACTGCGTCTCATTGCTTTTCTCTAAGCAACTGCTGCTTGCCGTCAGGCAGGTGATACTAGGATGAACTTTTCATTTAACCCTGTATGGCAGACCATAAACTAATTGTCTTTTTTTATTAACCTGACAGTTTGTATGTGAGCTTTTATAGAAAGTCATTGGTATTTCTTTGCAACACTACACTTAGCAGCATATCACTTTATTTTTAGAATTCACTCATGTTTTCTCCATCTTTTATTCCTGGGTCCTGACACCTTCATCACCCTGTCTTCAGTAGAAACTATTTTTAAATGTTCAGTTGCTGGAGAGCAGAACTTTCTAGACATGAGGAGTTTCAGAACTCTTTTATCCCCTGGTTTTACAGTCTTAGACTGAAGCAATTATTAATTGGCATTTGAGAGAGTTGCTCTTCACTTGTCTGCTGAGTTTGTGACGTTAGCTGTGTTATTTGTCTAATTTTCGTTATTGAGCAGGTCCAAATAGTAGTATATAGAGCAATGTATAAGATAGTTTTGTCAGGTTGTCAAGAAAAAGTGTTCCTGGTGGTTTATTTATTAAGCCAGTATATTTATTTGCAAGTTAGACGAGAAAGAGCGTTTCTCAGTCTTCCGATTTGCTTTGCGTTGATTACAGGAACAGTCACCTTTTTGAAAGGAATTATGTATTACTTGTCTGTTTTGTAGCGTCAAAAAATACCTATAACTGCACACAAGATATAAACACTGCCTAAATAAGAGTGTTTAAGAGTAAATTCCTAACAGGCTTGAAATTATGTATCTTACCCATTTTAAATTCATGTTGCAGTGAGTTTGCACTCTGTCTTGCTCACCTCCCTGCTTGTCTTTAAATGAAGAGCAACAGAGTCCATTTTTGTCATGAAATTTTGTATTAATCTGTCGATAATGGCACATTTCTGAACAAGGTGCCAAGAGCAACAGAGTCCATTTTTGTCGTGAAATTTTGTATTAATCTATCGATAATGGCACATTTCTGAACAAGGTGCACAGAAATAATATCCCTCTGCAGAGACTAAGAAGAAGGCAATATGGTACTGCAGAAGAAGATGAGTACGTCCGAATGGAGAAAAGGGAGCGGAAGAAAACTGACACTACCTACAAGGAGGTCGTTCCTGTGCCAGTAGCTCCCTCCTGTAGGTAGAAGAACAAATGTCGTTTTTTATGTTGGCAGATGTTAAGCAGTATAGAAGGAACTCTGTGTTGCTCTCAGGAGTATTAAAGGAACAAATTGTCCTTGAATACTCTAAATTGTGTAAGACACAAGTGTGATTTTATTCTGCTTTTTGATTTTTTCCTCACAAATAAACTCTTTAATTTAAGTCAAGGGAAAAAATTATGTGAAATACTGATCAAAATCAAAGGATGGCAACATTCAAAGAAGTTAAATATTTTACTCTTACTTTAAATAGTTTACCAATTAATACAATCTTGCCAGAACTACTGAAATCCTTACGCTCCTTTTAAAGAAGGGCTATAAAATACTGAACAGCATTAACTGAACCCTTCAGACAAAGCAGAGCAAAGCAAAGCGTATGAGGCACTATTTTTGTTTCACAGAAAGGCTGGTAGCATTTCAACCTGTGTCCATCAATGACTGAAGGTTACAGTACTTAAATAGTAAGATCACACAGGACTAGTGGGGTACTGCTCAGAGGCTTTTAACTGCTGTGGTGATAACCTCTGCTGAAGGAAAGCTGAACATGCTGCTAAGCCTGAGAACTGAGTTTTATATTTTTGAATGTATCAGTTTAAGCTTGAGAACCAGCCAGAGTAAACTGGATGATTCCATCTTCAGGATTCCAAACTGGTGGGCCGCTGCATCGCAGTCAGCAGGAGGGGTTTCTTGACGAGTTGCTGTGCCCTCAGAGGAGCTGGAGGCCTTAGGACGTAGTGACCATCCCACTCCCACCTGAGGAGCCACTGCAAGCTGCCCACAGTGACCCTTTAAGCTAAGGTGTGGCTCTTTGGTCTGCGGTGGCACCAGTCCCAGACATAGCTTCAGTGAAGATCCCAAACCACTTCAATAAAGGACAGTATTTGAAGAGCCTGTGTCTGACCGTGGCTGATGTACATCTCCTCTGAATAAATGGAGGCTCAGGTAGGAACCAGACTGGGATGTGGGTGTTACAGGAAAGCATGAGATGTCTGAGCTGACTAATGGCAGAGTGAGAAACACCAGGAACAGAGAGCAGAATGGCCAGAATAAAATCTAAATGCATGTGGATATAAGTGCAGCTACTTAAAGTTACATAACTAGCTCCTTCACACTCTGTGTGGGACCCGTTACCTCTTCCATATTTGTTTCCAGTTTTTTCACTTCATGCCCTTTGAGCTCAAGCTGTTCCGTTAGCTGCACGATCTTCTCTGTGAGCTCTGCAGGGGCTGCGTCGTAGCCATCAGCAGTGGTGGTCTCCATGTGAGACATCAGCTTTTTCCACATTTTTTCATCACATCTGTATATACATTAAAAAAAAAAAGGTTAGTGAAACCTCACGATGCAGGTCTAGGTTTGTAAAAGGCAGTTTTCCTGCAAAACTCTTGGCAGCATGGGCCACAAACTGGTGTCCCAGCTGGCACTGAGGAGGGTGAGCTGGGAATATCCAGCTGTGAAGGACGGGCAGAGGGGCCTGCTGATTTTGCTGTACAGTGTTACCGCTCCTTCCTGAAGCCATGGTGCCTTCAGGTCATGAAATAATCTTTGCAAAGGGCTCAAAGAGCAATAATCTCAGCAACCTACCCGCCATCGCAGCAAGGGAGCTTGGCCAGTGTTTTCTTCATTTGTTCCATCTGGGGCACTTGGTCTCCTGCCCCAATCTCCTCCTCCTCCTCAGAGGAAGCCTGGCCCTCCACAGAGCAGAACAGCTGGTCCTCTGCTCAAGAAACCAACAACTCCTTAGCCCCCAAACAAATACCCCGATGAGCTGCTGCGGGGGACGTCTGAACTCCGGAGTCCGAGGCAGAGTGAGGAGAGGGTTGAAAAACCCCACTCCAACACAGCGCGGGGTCCCTCAGCATCCGTGGGAAGGGGCTCGAGCGCTGCGCAGGGGAGCCTCAGCAAAGACAAGTATTTTCAGCTTCTTGAATACTTCAGCACTCTCCTGCGGGTAACTTTTAGCTATTTCACTACAACTCTCTTCCTTCCTTTGAGTAACTCTAATGTAAGTGTGAAGGATCAGTCTGTTATTGGGGACAGGCAATTACAGTTCGTGGACACAATTGAATATAGACTTGTCAGGAGGCAGGAGAAGCTGTGTAAGGTTTTTTTTCGCATTTATTGTACCAGCTGAACATGTATTCAGAGTGGAGGAATTTGGTATAAATGTTCTCTGATTCATTCCCTTACTGCGCGTGGTAGGGACAGTGATTTTAATATATAAATGCAATATTAGACCTACAGCTATCAAATGTTTAGTTATCTCTTTTTTACCTAAACATAATGTCTCCTCACATGCCAAATAAAGTATAAATGAGCTGTCATTGTAACAATATAAATATACATATACTATTACACTAACATCTCAATACTTTTCGAGCTGTATCTTATAAAAGCTATTGCATTTAACTCCTTTTTATCACAAGGAGATATTTACTCGGATTTAGGGGATTATTATGATGCTTATAACTTATAGGGAGTCTTTTGAAGCACTGAGTACATGAAAAGCACTTGTCACATCTTTATTCTGAGTGTTTGTTTTGAGCTGACACCAGGTTAAACCGATGTCAACATGATTTTAAATTTTATAATCATTTACCTTAATCACTGTCAGTTAATTAAACAGGTTTAATGATTTCTAACAGAGGGATCAAGTCAAATGCTGTTACGTCTTCAAGTACAGAAGCCCATTTGACCTGAGGTTGTGTTACAGGTGGTGAGCGCATTCAGCTCATTCCGCAGAGGAGCAGGGGGCTCACGGGGATGAGCCACCCCGCAGAGACCCGCAGGTGGATGATTGTCTGTCCCATTGCAAGGGCACAAGCACCTGCACCTCAAGCTGCAGTGCCGTTCCAGCGGCCGCTCTCTGAAGGCCAAGTGCCGTGGCTGGGCAGGGATTTGTTGATTGAAAGATGCTAGCTGATAGAGCTGGAAGAGGATGGCAGGATTTGCTTAGTATGCACAGAAGCACACACAAAATGATTTGAGATTGGAAGGCATGCTTGAGCCAACTTGCTGCTAAGAGGCCACCTGGATGGTGGCATGAAGAACAAACTGCCCTTTCCTTCCCCACCCCCACCACCCCATCCTAGGCAATTTAACATCCTTTACAGCATAGCATGAAAAAAAATGTGCTGCCATGTTGACAACAAAGAGACATGCCTGTTTTGTCAGAATAATGATATCAAAGTAAGAATATTTTGGACCATTTTTGTTTTCACATGGGCTCTTTTTTTAATGCATTGTCTGCCCTCGGCGACAAAGGGAAGATGGCCCAGGTGGGGGCTTTCCTTCTGTTGGGTAACCCTTGGCACGTGTTTGCTAATGCGATTTTCATTCCAGTGGCATTCAGTGTGCCTAATTTATAGGTTATCATGTTCAAAAATTTAATGCCTAAGCAGGAATAAATCTTAACTGCATGCAGTATTGCTTGTTAGGTAGAGAATGGGTGTCTGCGTTTTCACGGCAGTCCTTACACTGTGCAAACTAATTTATTAGAAGCACTTTCTTTCCGTGAGTCTGCACTGCCAAAGCAACAACAACAGCAAAACTTTCCATTTTCAATCTGTGATACATTAGCAGTGAACTTTTTCTATCGTAATTTATTTTCATTCCATAGGAGTTCAAAGGGATAGCAGTCGGAGTTTACAGCCGATGCGGCAGCCATGAAAACTGGTTGCCCGACGCTACAGATGCCTTTAAGAGCTTCCAACTGGTATGTTTAATCCAGTAAATTAATTGCAGCATCTGGCATAGCAGACACTCAGATGAGGTTTTTAAAAAGGGAGGAAAAGGCACGTGGATCGCAAGCTGTCTCCACGCTAAGGTGTGTATGAGACTCGCAATGCTTTCTGCCCCGTGGAATGTCCTCTTTTATATCCACCTTGCAGGACCGGAAACCAGAGGGGAAAACCAAAACTGCTTATGCATCTCTCTTAACATAAAGCTAGTATTTTATTAAAATTCTTATACTGGGCTAATGCTTAAAAAAAAAAATTCTGTCAGCAGAATCATAGAGCACTTTATTATTGTGATATTTAGGCATTAATTTTTAAACTAGCTAATGCAGAATAACTTGCCTAATTCCAAGTTGGTGCTCTTCTGCTCTAAGAAATTAATGCCTATTAAAGTATATATAAAAATTTATAAATAATTCTGTGTTTAAATTATTATTTATCTAGTATATCCGGGTTTATCCCAGATGTTCACACAATTTTTTTATTCTTTGAACTTTCTAAGATATTTTTCTTGTCTGGCTAACTAATCCATTTTTATTAGATGGATCATGTTTTTAAATCTATAAACGCACAATTTTTTTGTTTGAAAAGGTTTTGCTAAGAAGCTGTTTGCACTTGAAATATGGAAAGTGTAGTTTAGACATGGAAAGTGTGAGTTGGCAAAGTGTCTGGTGTGATATAAATATTTGTAAAAGTGGGTTTGTTTTGTAAGTCTAACCACACAAAGAACATGCTAGGATGTTAATTGTATTTACATGTCATTATTTTTCACATTCCCAAGCAGCTACTTGCCAACCCCATTCCGTCTGCAGGGTGGGGGTCAGGAGGATGGGGCCAAGCTCTTTCCAGTGGTGCCCAGTGACAGGACAAGGGGCAATGGGCACAAACTGAGGCACAGGAAGTTCCGTCTGAACATGAGGAAGAACTTCTTCCCTCTGAGGGTGACGGAGCCCTGGCCCAGGCTGCCCAGGGAGGCTGTGGAATATCACTTTCTGGAGATATTCAAGACCCGCCTGGACAAGGTCCTGTGCAGCCTGCTGTAGGTGACCCTGCTTCGGCAGGAGGGTTGGACTAGATGACCCACAGAGGTCCCTTCCAACCCCTACTATTCTGTGATTCTGTGATTCTGTAATCTATTTTTTAGTCACTACATACAGCTCTCCAGTCTGCAGTAAAAATACCGTGTTATTTACAGTTAATGCCAGATAAGTGCTTTTGTCTGCTTTGAACTACATATGTCCAAAAAACCAAAAAATAAATGACTGACGGTAAGTCAAACTCACCACACTTTGCATTTGCTGTCTACTTGGCATGTAAACCACTGCCGGGGTGTGTGTGGGGGAGTTTGGCTGCTAAGACGGCGATCACAAACGTGTCTCACCACCACAGCAGCTAAATGACCCCCTGCCCCCCAGGCTGCCATCCCTTTGAGAGCCCTGTAGCACCTCGTCGGGGGCACTGGCGGCGAGAGCTGCCTTGGCAAGCCCGTAGATCCCGGCAGGCTTTCCAGAAAGGCTCCTCGCAGTCCCGTGAGGCATGGCAAGCATGCCAGGTCGTGGCAGCAGTCAGCACTACGTGTGCTAAACAGCTCGGACCTTTCCAGGGCTGCTGAAGTGGCCAGGGTGCTTCCAAAGTCTATCGCTGTACAGATTATTAGCTGCAAATGGTTTCCTCGGAAATTATTTTAGCTGGAGTTCTGAGGTTTTATTTACAAAGACATGAAAACTTCATACTTTTAAGCCAGGAGAAATGTTTTGGTGAGGTGAATTGTACGGAAAAAAAGCAGTTTTAAATCATAGCTCTAAGTGATACATTCTGTCTTCTATTAAACGTAAAATTATGCGGGGAGTGAGAAGTATAAAGCTGAGATATTACCTTTTATTTAGGTCTAGGATTTCAAGATTCATTAGGATTGTGGCTTTGGTGGTTTAGTATCTATATGAGCTTTTCTGCTGAGGATCTTACAAATCAGCGAGGACACAAAGTGGCTGGGTACTGGGTTTGATACCGTCCTTGGAAATGGCGGCTCCGCCGACGGGAGCCTGTCGGTCTTGCTGCACCAGAGGCAGGCAGCACCTTCCGTCCGGCGAGGCTGCTCCCC